GTGTGTGTGTGTGTGTGTGTGTGTGTGTGTGTGTGTGTGTGTGTGTGTGTGTGTGTGTGTGTCAAAGTATCACCACAACTTCCCCTATTCCACCCAGATGAGTAGATCCAAAGTCATAGCAACTTTACCTGTATTGCAGACAATGAAGCATTCTCAAGATGAGCCAATCCACCAATGAAACATTATTGCTTGTGGAGTCAATATCTATTCAGAACCTTACCTTTAAACAAGCAAGGAATCTCACCTTTACACAAGCAATGCATCACACTTGAGATGGGCCAACCCAACAGTAAAAACAATACGAGACACAATAAATTCGTTATATCATTTTCTTGGATTTTTTTTTTTTTTTCTATATTATTCTCTCAACTTTTGTTTGTTTACCTTTCACTACCTACTCCTAAGGCTATCTAGAGGGGACCCCTGCAAGCATAGTTTCCTCTCACTGTGAAGGGGAGATTTCATGTTGCCCCTTGCCCCTAATGGTTAGGGTATAGGGTTGGGGCCGCCAGTGGGGGTCTGGCTAACACAAAGACCGAGACCTGCCAGTAGCTCCACCTCCCTTTCTCATCGTCCCCCACCCCTCATCGAGTAGCAGCAGTGGCTATGGCCAACACTCACCCACACACCACACACAACCCACTCGCGCTCGCACTCACACCCATGTTGGTCATAGATTCCACTAATACCGATCAGGAGTATCCAGAGGACTTCCCAGTTCGTTGGCACTAAGTGCGCCGCAGGCGGTCGTGGGGCTTGAGCCCACAACCTCCTGAATGCCACTTGTGTGCCTAACCAACTGAGCTGGAGGCCTCCCATTTTCTTTGTTTTTGCAGTTACCTTCTTACTGTGCCTATCACGTACAAGGCTGGCCACGTTGATGATGGTTGAGCGCCAGCTGCCCGCATCCCCGTGTGCCTTTACGGCCCACTTGCACGTTATAAAAGGAGGCCGGGTAGAAGGGTAATTATATTTTGTTTGTTCTCTCAATGACGTTCATTCATATGCGTTTACTAGTAGTACACAAGGAGAGGGAGTAGACAACGGGAATGAGGAAATAATAAAAATAGAGATAGATATATATATAGAGAGAGAGAGAGCGTTCAATAGATTCTCTATACAGACGGTTGGAGCAGACAACTGTAGAATGACACGAGAAGTCAATCAGTGTCCGGGTTGCAGGATGAGGAGATGAGTAGCTGTTGCCTTTGGTAGGTGACCACTCCTGCAGACTGGACAGCACCGATTCGGGTGCGGACTGCGCATCGCATCCAATTCTTGCAGTTGCAGTTGCTGCACCGAATGGCACAACGTAGACAGATATCGCAGGCAACATGGCTCCCACAGGCAAGGAACACAGGGGCACGCCGGCCTCAATTGTAGAGGCATTGCCATTCGAGCCCCTGTCTACAAATTGGACATGACTGTCATCATATGTATGAAAACAAAAAGATGCACGGGCTGTGCCTTCATAATCCTCGTGACACAATGCATGCAGCCCACATGCTAGCCGAATCTCAGGTGGATCATCACAGAACGGCATTGAGCAAGTGTTTTGGGTTTCCTCGGCATTGATTCCTTCTCTATGCACCAACAACAACTGTGGCGAGAGGGGTTCATCCACAACAAGGGTGTCTAGCTGCTGCAGGATTTGTCCTGCAACAGTTCGTCCTGGTGGTGTTAGCCCTTCAGCACAGTGCTCTATAAGTGGCTCATGTGGTTCTCTATTTTCCTGCTCAGGCTGTTGAGTTTGCTATTCGTCGGGCAAGAAAGAAGGAGATCCGATGGCGTTTGCAGTAATTGTATGCCCAAACTCTGCATGTGGGACATGCTAAGAGAGGATGTGGTGAATGATGTCATCCTGGATAGTCCAAGAAGTAGACGCACATGCTTTCTATGACAGCTTCCTGAAAACATTGATGACACATGGCATGTTGCTGACATGTCAGCAGCAAGGCAGGTTGACATTGGCAGCCATTTAAGCATGGCTGATTAAGGCCATGACGGCATATTGGGCAAGCAATTAGGGGGTGGGAAGGATGAAGACAAGACAAAAAGTCGCAGTTTTCGCGACAGAGGCTGGCAGTGACCATCCCTTCATAGTGTTCGGAGCAGAGACTATGCACTGTGCATGCTAACCGAACTGCGGTTGTATGGCCGCAGAATGGAAGGGCATGGCCAACATCTTCTAAGGAGGTTCTTTCATTGTTTGGAGCAGAATCTGCCCAATCTACACAGCAAGGGGGCACTGCTTGGTCATGTGCAGGGGAAGGAGGTAATTGCACATCCGGATTGCTCTCCAGAGACTGAAGCGCTTCCGGGTGCGAAGTAACATATTGTTCCTGAAGAACAATCCAAATTGAGTGAGTATTTGCTACTTGGTTATAGCAAGAGTTAATGCTACTTACCGTGTGCACCCTACCTCCATTGTCCCATAAGGCCCATGAATTGTCTGCAAAGGTCACAGCGCTGAAATGTCCTGGCCAATGCAGGACGTACGCACGAATATTTGAGTTCATGTCTGGCATGTGGTTTTGGGGAGCAGGCTGCAGTTGTAGTCTTCTACCCATAAATGCCGTAGACAAAACTTCTATGTTCACTCTAGAACCAGTATTGTCATCCTCTGGGGAGACAGCACAATGCTCTTCTTCTATCCAGCAGACAATATCAGCAAAATCAGAAATTGTGTAAGGGTTACAGTTGTAAGCGAGGAGACTTACATTGACAGCATGGTACACACAATAGCCTCGCTGCAGCACCATGAGATCATATGATTCTGCTGGTTGTGCGGTAGGGGGCAGTTCATTCAATTTTGTGGATTGCACGGCAAGCGGAGATTCAATGTGGTCTTGATCGTTTCTAACAGGTTCCTCCATTTGTGGAAACTGCATTGGTCCTAGTACACACTCCGGAGAGAGGTCATCTCCAGTTAGGGGCTCCATCAAATGATCAGAAGGCAGGTCATTGACCATTGGGGCTGGGGAACATGCGGTGTCAGGCGGGGGAGAAATGGGTGGGTCAGATGCAGGTAATGGAGGCTGATCAGCCGCACTTGTGTTTAAGGTGGCTGCCAGTCGTGCAAAAGCTGCACAGGCGGCCACACCCCGTGTCTGATGCACACGCAGGCCCATAATGCTAAAGAAATCGTGGCCACATTGTTGGCATCGAACTCGACATGCACTATTCCGCGCTAGTGTGTATTGAGCGCGGCGTCGTCGTTCTGTACGGTTGCAGGCATGGCGTCGGAGCAGATCTCGATTGTACTATCCATGGACAAACGAGGCCGTTGTCTTGGAGACGGTGGTGGAGACGGGGAGCACCTCCGTCGACGAGGTGTCTAGAACGACCGATTTAACGGTACATGCCTTGGACGAAAGGGTCGCCGCGACGGCTGATCTGACCAGGAATGTGTTGATAACGAAGATGATGAATCAGGCAAGGTAGAGGAGGGGGGGGAGTTGACGAAGAGGGTATAAAAACGGAGGAAGAAGAAGAAGCAGAAGAAGGGGAGGAGGAAGCAGCAGCAGAGGAGGGGTTAGATGACTGGGGGGATGATGTAGAAGAAGATGTCTGCGGGGAGGGTGGTGGCAATGATGATGGGTATGATGATGGGGATGATGATGATGGTGGCGGGGATGCCAATGGCGATGGTGGTGGTGGCGGTGGTGGGGGAGGAGGTGGGGGAGGAGGTGGTAGTGGTGATGGTGGTGGTGGTGGAGGAGGTGGTGATGGTGATGGTGGCGGTGGTGATAGCGACACTGATGAGGAAGGCACCATTTCGGCAGCAATAGCCGCATTGGTAGGATTGAAACGGTATTCACCAATTCGTGGTAGCTGAGGCAGATCCCAGGGCTTGATCCCTAGTTCCCCAACTTACCTGTGTATAATATCTACGTCAACTCGAAGAGTTGAACCTGCGACCTGTAGAACCGCCAGTGGTAGGTAGATTGTCGTAGGGCACAGGATAGACTGGAATCGAACTGTAGACCTGTAGGGTAGAAGTCTAGACAGTTCCGGAGTTGTAGCTGAAGACTGCCTGAAGAGTCAAGGTCGTAGCTGCTACTTACCTGAAAGGGCAAAGTC